TAATGCCCCTGAGATTGGCTACCAAATTAAAAATTGTGAATATTGTCAAACCTGTTACTCCACAGCTGGAAATAAAATGTTCATCGAATAAGGAGGCTGGGCCGTGAGAAGAACCAGTCCACTCATCACCAGCATGATGATGCATAATGCAGGCATGTGTATCCAAAAGCAAGAGGTCTAAACTGAGCCTCAAGGGGGCAATGGCAGGAAAGGAATTTGTATGCGGAATGTTTGAATCAACACTCTCTGAGCATTCACTCCAGATAAAAACCCCAAGCAGCTCAGGAGGCTGCAATGGCAGTACCTCAGTCCAAAGTCAATTGGAAGAGCTCAAAACAAAAGCTTGCTCTGCCTCCAGATGTGAACAGCTTCATTGGAACATGCTGTTCAGATTCTTTATTCAATTTTCAAGAGACAGATTCTCATTGGGGCTGAAATCTGAGCTAGAACAGAGTGTTCCAAGTCATGAAAAATGAACAAGGGAGCAGCTTAGGGGGTTTGTGAGCGGCAAGAAAGGTTTATTTAATAATGGGAGAAAGGCAGGAACATAGCCCAGGGTAACAAGGAGGGGTTAATCCAATTAACAGAACAAGACATGAGTTTGAGAAGCAATATTAATTGTAGCTGTCCAGCAGGCTGCATGGTACAGGTTATTTGTCCCAATTCACAAGAAGTTCACAATATTGATCCCTTGAGGACCTAACTGAAATGTTAAATATCCCACCCCCAATACCTTCGTAAGTCAAGCAGGCTTGTGAGTAAATTAATCTCATCAGTGCTGGCTGCTGGACTGTTGTCATACATGGAATATATGCTCCTCAGAGGAATCAGTACCCACAAAATATATGTCTTCCCCTTTATGTCTATATTTATTTTCATTCCTGCTCAGTAAATTCTAGCAATATGAACTGAACAAACTGGGGCCTGGTTTGCAAACTAATTTTGGAACTAAAGCAAGCTTCAAATACTTCTGCTGTCAAAGAGTCTGGCTGCCGGCGGGCTGAAGGTAAATCCTGCCCCACCACATGGAAAATGAAGGAGATGGGGAATGAATGGGTATATGGCACTTGCACCTCAGAGCCCATTGTACCCAGTGAGCTTGTGGCAGTCATGGTGCTGGAATGTTGTAAATTCAAACACTGTATCTAATGCCAGTTGCTACCACAGAAACATTGGTGCTGAAGGAGATGCAATGCTGGCATGTCATGGCTGGAATGTTTGCTCACCTCCAGTCATTTGTCTTCTGAGATATATTAACTCTACCCAGGTCTAATGCTTTCCATCCCATGAAAAAGCAGAGTGTAGCAGAGTATAAGAACCAGTTGTCCTCCTTCTGAACAGAACACTGAGGTGAACAGAGAAGATTATGATGGAAAAATAAGACTGCAACGTGCAAACGGAACCAGAGAACTAGGCATGAGCCAAATTCAAAGCCTCCAGAGACTAATTTATAAAAAGGAAATCAGTCAGTGATGCAACTGGGTGAAGTAGAATGTACAAGAACTCTCGTGACATAAGACAATTAAAGACAGTCATTAAATTTAAAATTACAGCATCTTTTTCCAGGAGGATGTGCTCAACTGCAGAAAATTCCATCTCTCCCTGCATGGATTTGAACTAGATGGGACTTATCTGGAATGATGAGCATCAGGGAAATCCAATAAAACCTTGCTATCTATCTCATGCCTAATCTGATTAAAGATAGCCATGTTGGACAAAGATTAGCTGCTGAAGTGGTCAAGTTAAATAAAGCACAATCAGGATTAAGATTGGTTCATCAGCCTACACAAGGAAGTGCTGATTTGGGAAAAAATATCCTATTGATCCTGTTTCCCCTTCTGTAAAATGGGAATGTTTGTGACCTCCTTCGTAAAGTGCTTTGAGTTCTACTGATGTAATGCGCTATGTTAGGGCTTGTCTACACTTACCGGAGGGTCCAGCGGCAGGCAATCGGTTTTCTGGGATCGACTTATCGCGTCTAGTGAAGACGCGATAAAATCGATCCCTGATCGCTCTGCCGTCGACTCCGGAAATCCACCGCGGCAAGAGGCGGCAGCGGAGTCGGCGGCAGCGCGGCAGCGGTCGACTTTCCCCCGTCCTCACCGCCAGGTAAGCCGACCTAAAATACGCAACTTCAGCTACGGTATTCACGTAGCTGAAGTTGCGTATCTTAGGTCGGACCCCCGCTGTAGTGTAGACCTAGCCTTAGAGGTAGATGGCAGTTTTATTGTCTCTGCATCCTGTTTAACTTGATTACTTCAAAGGCTAGTTCTCTTCAAGCACGGCTGTTTTTATAGCTGTCGTAGCTTGATGTGACAGATCTTTTCTTTTTAAAGTTGGCTTTTTTATGGGTCAAAGGTTTTGGCTGAGATACTCCATTTGCAGTTGTTAAATTTCACTAAGTGTTTATTTAGCAGAGAGTTGGTACTTAAGCTTGAGTTTCATTAATTTTATGTGTCTGGCGATATGAATGTAAGTTAGGAAGCCTCACATTGAAAAAAAGGCCTACAAAGCTCAACGGATTAGTCATTCTCAGGGTGTGTGTTTTGCATTCTTGGAGAGATGTGAACTAATTTGATGTCCCCTTCCCCACTTCAAAGGCCTCATTTGTGGGCTCTAGCTGTGACCATTCAATTCAAATGACTAACCTTTTCATAGCACGGCACTTCCAATAGACACACACATCATAGCTCTTGGAGCAATTTTTTCCTATCCCTAAAGTTGCCACTTGTTTCCCCATTTTTCTTCTATTCTTTTTCACTCTGTCATCTCTGCTTCTTTTTCTCTGTCTCCTGTCATCTCACTTTTCTGCCCTCTTCCCTGCGTTTCTGTCTCTTTCTTTCTGCTCATCTGCTGTTAACTCTATTACCCGGGGCTGGATTTCAGGCTAGAATGCATTTTGGCAAGTGGGCCCTTCAGTGTGTTTCAGGCAGGATTTGAAATGGATAATTAATGACATTTGGAGAGGTAAAACAGGGCTATACTTTTAACTTTATTGACATACGGTGGAGAGAAGAGCTTTTGGAGGGACTGGATAGAGAAAGATAATAGAGACTGTCCCTCCTCAAGTTACTATTGGTAAAACGGAAGATCCTTATCTGCCTCTTACTTGCTACGTTGCAAGTTCATTTCCCCTATTGACTTCCCCAAAATATACATATAAAACAAAAGGGGATATCAGGAGTTGATAAAAAGGAACGGTTTTAGCACTTCTAAACCAAAAAGAACCACTCCCTCTCCTTTCAAACACAGCACTAGCAATAGGGATCTAAACCAATGAAAGGTGCAAGATTAGCTTATCTCCCTGAGATGAGATGTGAATCACAAGTTCATTGCATTTTCACTATCTTTACTCCTTTATTTTATTTTGAGAAATTCTGTTTCCAACTTCAGATCAGTCTATCTTTTGTGAAGATGTGAAAACCGGCTGTTCAGGGTCATTTGTTGTTATAGCACCAAAACATTCATTTTGGGAGACTTATCTGCATTTCTGAAACTGAACCCGGTGGTGATTTAGCACAACTGACCCCAAGGCCCCTTTCTTTCCCATCCCTACTTGTGTTCGTTTGTCATAACTGTACTCTTCCCTTAAACAAAGGACAAAACACCAGCAATCTTTTGCATTAAATGAGGCTTAAAACGCACTACAGAGGAGCCAAAGCATAGCATCCTGTAGTCACTTGTGATGGACTGCGAAGGACCAGAGCCTTAAACTAAGCTCAGCAAGCGTCATTCTTGATCGTGACACTTTGATTGGAGTCTCTGTCCGGGTGCAAATGTGTGTGTGTCTCTGCACAAGAGAGGGTGTGATGGGAGCGGCGGTAAGTGCTGTGCATGTATCTGACTCGTGCGGACAGTGTGGGTGTGTCCAGGAATACAAGTTAATGTGTTTGTGTGTATGGCGTTAAGAGCTTCTCCGTGCATGGGAATGTGTGTTCTTGGGGCCCAGTTTGCCGCTTTTTGCAGGGGTGGGTGGGTGTAATACTATGTGAGCATCTGTGCATGTACCTTTGTGCAGGGGGAGTGTGTGTATACCCATGATTGTATGTCTGCATAAGTATGTGTGTATCACTGGTTGTGTGGCCATCATTCTGATACTGACCTCCTTTGTAAAGTGCTTTGAGACCTATGAATGAAAAACGCTATAGCAGAGCTAGGAATTATATAAAAAGCAACAGGTGCCACAGGACCCTCTGTTGCTTTTTACAGATTCAGACTAACACGGCTACCCCTCTGATACTAGGAATTATATGTTTGCATATAGTGTGAGGGATTGTGTGCGTAGGCAAGCGTGTGTATCTGTGAGAGGATGGGAGTCTGCACTGTGTGTGGGTCTTTGGAGCAGTGTGTGTGTCTGTCTCCTCTGGGTAGGAAAGTACTGAAGGATGTTATACTCTGAGTTCTATGGGGGTGTTTCTTGTGTTGTCAGTCGTGTTTTGGAATTTCCCCTGCATCAAAGGAAATGTCAGAACTGCTACATATGCAAACAATGTAAGCATCCTTACATTAGACTGAGTGGTTTGTATGTGATCACGTGGTGTTATTCCTGTGCAAGTGCATGCAGCATTTACGTAATGATAAAGTACACTCGTGTGTTAGCGCAGGTAACACGTCATGTATTTGTGATAGCATGGAGGCAGGTGTATGTGTGTAAAAGTCTCCACCTTTTTCCGATCCAGGCACGAAGCTGTCTAAGGCATAATTCGCTGGGCTCTCATGTTTCATGGCAAACTATCAAGCAGCTGCTGAATTGTCAGCTCAGTTGGTAGCCTCAGAAACAAAACAGCCCTTGTGTTTCGCATCATAGCTGTGCAATATTGACTTCAACCAGGCAGCTTTTGAGGGGGACAAAATATAAGCATTTTTTGCCTGTGATGTTCATGCTAGTCTGTTTTATTTCTAACATCATTTGGATTTGTCACTTGAATGAGATTTTGCTTTTCCCATCTCGTCACTGGAGCTGATTACTTAGTATGGTTATTTTTGTTGTATTTTTTAAGGAAACAAGCGGAGAAGTTGGATGTTTGCAACAGCTGACGAGAAGATTCCCTGAGTCCTAGAGCGTTCAGCAAAAGGGGAAAAGGGAGAATATGATGATGTTCCTGAGAGGTGGCAGGAAATAGTGAAGAGAACTGTGATTGTCAACAGGAAACCCAAGATCCTCACCACACATGACTATACCAGGCAGTACATTTCAAACACTCAACATCTGCAGGTCTTTCTGATCTGGAGGGTGAAGGTTCATCTACGTGAGGTTTTTCCTGGGATCGTATCTGTCGGAACTCAGTGGACCACAAATCTGCTTCTGCATTATTGTGAACCCGCTGAGAAGCTGCAAGGTTTATCCTATCTGCTGAAGCTGGCAAACCCTATACTCCGTCTTTCTGTGCTCTCTGTAGTAGACAGCTAAATCAGCTGAAGGGAAAAGGGGGCAAGATAAGCCTCCGGCCAACAGCTGGCAGCTGAGTACCCTTCAGAACCCAGACCATTTTGAGGTGCCTCGGTGGCTGTTTGCAGCACTGCAGATATGGACACTGAGCTTCTCTGGCACCTTCTTGCATTGGCCTGGTCAACCTCACCATGCTAGTATATGGGAATGAAAACTTCCTCTCGGATGTAATTTACATCATCCTGGAACTGGTCATTGCAGTGCTGGCCATCTTGGGGAACGTCCTGGTCTGCTGGGCAGTCTATCTGAACAGCAACCTGCAAAACGTCACCAACTACTTTGTGGTGTCCCTGGCTGCAGCCGACATTGCCGTGGGCGTGCTGGCGATCCCCTTTGCCATCACCATCAGTACTGGCTTCTGTGCCTTCTTCTATGGCTGCCTCTTCATCGCCTGCTTCGTCCTGGTTTTGACTCAGAGTTCCATCTTCAGTCTCCTGGCTATTGCCATTGACAGAATCATTGCTATCCGGATACCCCTCAGGTAAGCCCAGAGTGGGTGGGACCTGGAGTGGGGCGGGGGAAGCGCAGATGGAATGGGCATCTCTAGAGTGTCCTACGTGCTATAATCAAGGAGGAAGAGAGAGTTAAAGGGAATGACGCCACTTTCACTGTAATCTGAAAATGCTTTTTAGACCTCAAAACTTGCCCCTTCCTGCTGGATTTCCTGGATGTTGCATTTTTATTTCTGGCTCCTCCTTGTCCCACGAAGTATGTGCCAATAGCATTACCTGGACCCTGCCTAGGAGCTTACATTCTGCACTGAGACAGATTCCTGACTTAACCGTAATGATTTGTGTTCTGAGTTGGAGCAGACAGTGCCAGACAGATCGCTGTGGGAAAGCTGAGCACTCACTCGGTATCACCCCACTGTGGACAGCAGGGGCTCTGTCTGGTAGGCAGAGGTTTGCTGTTACAGTGAGATTCTCTAGGGCAGCGTTTCTCAAATGGGCCACATGCAGCCACCAGGGGCTTTTCTTGTGGCCACAGCCTCCTGGGCTGTGCTTGCGGGGGGGGGGGGGGGGGGGGGGGGGGGGGTGGAGGGGACCAGCGGCCCCTCCCCCTCCGTGGTGCTCCCGGATGGACAGCCTTGGTGTTGGTTGCTGGGGTTTCCAGCAAGGGTTTGTCAGCCGGTGAGTTCCCCACCTTCCCAGGGGTGGTGGGGCTCAGGATTTGGGCTTCAGCCCGGGGGTGGCGGGGGAGGCAGGTTCTGGCCGCAAGGCTTTGGGCTCCGGCCATGGGGCTTCAGGCTCCGGACCCCGATGTCTCCCTCGATCCCCCATCCAGGCTTAATTTGTCCCCAGACTTCCTGGGGCTGAGTAAGTCTGCTGTGAAAAGTGATACTTGTATGTGGTTATGTTGGTTAATATCACTTTTCGCAGTAGAGTTACTAGCTAGCAATAAATAAATTACAATGATTTGGACGTGTGTATGTGCATATTTATTTGTTTTTCCTAAAGCTAATTAAGTATTTTAGGAAAAAGTGTGAGAGTGGCCACCAGCAAGAGTTGGTGGCCACACTCTGAGGCCACCAAATAATTTGTCCTGAGAACCCCTGCTCTAGGGCGAGCATGCGGATGGGAATGGGAGGCATTCTCGGGGGCTGTGGGGGTGCTTTAATCCTACACAGGCTAAGAGGGAGAGTGCGCTTTTTGTTCAACATGAGCAAGAGGATCCAGCGTCTCTAACAGAGAAAGCTATTTGGCAAAGGCTGGGTCCTGTCCCAAGTCCATCCCACAAGTGGGCACCCCCCACACACCATCCTTTTGGGGAAGAAAAGGACCTTCAAAAATAGAGCTTGCAAACTGAAACAGAGTGGCTGCTGCTCTATGGACAAGCAACCAGATTCACATGGGCCAGGGGGACATTTTATCTTGTATATGGGAACTGCCACCCTATCTGATCATCACAATCCTACAGATAAATGCTGCCAGTTCAGTTCAAACCCTGTATGTTCTGGGTTTATTACAAAGTGGGGAGCTCTGTGGAGCAGTTAACTGACAATGCCTCTGCGTCATTTCTCAGGCATTTAAGACGCAGAGGAAGCCTGTAAATGAGTGACACCCTCCATTCTCCAGCAAGGGTAGCCTGGACCAGAGCAGAGCAGGCTGTGACTAGTGACACCTCTGCTCTGTCTCTCCATTCCTATGTATCATTCTCTCTCTTTTTCCCCTCTCACTTGTTCCTCGCCACCTCTCACCCCTGCGCCCCCCAGCAGATTATTCTGATGCCATCTGCAGAGGGAAATTGTAACGGCTCTTGCTTCTCATTTGCCACCCAAACACTGCTGTGGTGGTGACTGCAGCCTGGTCCTGCTCAGTGTACGTGGGCTGTTCTCCTGCCCTCTCCTCCCCTCCTCTCCCCCAGACATAAAAGCATCATGGAGGGATGGAAGAGGAACCTGGTGGAAGTAACCTGGCAGTGAGGAGAGACACTGAAAGCCCTGTGGGCAGGCACATTCAGTATTCCAGCTAATTGGCTATTTGATGAATTGAAGCAATTTGTTGCCTGTTTGGTAATTCTTTGACTTATACCCCAAAGCAAATAACGAGATAAAGCCTGATTTCCAGGTATTGTGCCTTTCTAGCAACAAGGAAACCCTCAGGGGCCAGTTCGTGGCTGATCCTTGCAGAGACGCACAAAGGATGGGGAAGGGCAGGAGCAAGAGACAGTTGTCATCCCTTTGACCATTCTCTCACAATGCCTCTGCAGGTCTTTGCCAGACCAAAGGGAGCATGGAGGAGGCAGTCATCTTCCTCCAGCCTCCACTGCAGCACCAGCCAGCAAAGCTGGCTAGACACTCGGGAGCATGCTGTAACCTCTAAGGCTCTGTTGTCACTAAAAATGCTGCAGCTGTAGCGCTTCAGCGTAGATGCTTGCTATGGCAATGGGAGGAGTTCTTCCGTTGCTGTAGGTAATCCACCTCTCCCCGAGAGGTGGTACCAAGGTCGGCAGAATTCTTCCACCGACCTAGCACTGTCTACACTTAGTTAGATCGGCTTAACTGTGTCTCTCAGAGGTGTGGCTTTTTGACATCCCTGAGCAACATAGCTGGGTTGATCTAACTGTTTAGTGTAGACCTGGCCCAGAGGTGGGGAAGGACACAGCTGCTGCCTGTTCGGCTTAGGAATAAATAGGGCTGCACAATTTAGCAATAGGCTTCTGATTTCTTAGAACAATCAGCCACGTAGGCTGCAGAATGGCTAATTTCATTTGAGCGGCGCTCTTCCAAACGCTGCGTCCCAGGCCAATGCCACAGAGAGACACAAACCTCACTGAGTGCGGCTGAATTATTCACTCATCTCTATTAATAGTGCATCAGATGAATTTGAGCATATTTACTGGGGAGCAGAAGGCTTGGAAGGATTAAATTTTTATCAGTAAATGTTGATTTCACCGTACACAGAAACTGATGAGCAAATATATCTATAATAATCAACATTTACTGATAGGCAAAATAAGAAAAATGTTGTTTGAGAACTTACTAAGTTTGATTTAAGGATATTTACTTGGTATATTTTGACATGTAATGTTGACAATTTGTGTTAGTGGGTTATAAAACTTTAACTTTTTAAATCTCAATGTCTGCTGTTATTTAATTATTGTCTGATCCCCCCCACCACCACCCCCATCATTTTCCGCAACTGTGAAACTTTAAAGCAATACGAATTTTAAAATGCTTAAAAATAAACTGTGATATTGTCCATCAAAATCTAATTGTGCCAAGCCGATATATAATAGAAAGATGGTATAATTTCATGTAACTGGTAGAAGACTAACATATGGAGTAGCTAATTTCCCCCTACAGCAGAACTTAGTTAGTGGAAAGTCTGAGACACCTGGATGCTCATGAAAATCAGGAGAATGCAAAATATGTAGCACAGTGTGCAACCAAGGATGATGGACAACAGCACGCCACGTCAGGCCACACTGTATTTATTTATTAAACCAGGCAGTATCCAGGATACAAATGTTACCGTCTTCCCCAGAAAGGTAGGATCTCTTCCCCCAAATTACACTGGCCCAAGGCACAGAAGTGGTAAATATTCACTCTTGTATAGGTTTAGCATCTTGTGATCCATGAGGGCTAGAAACTGAAGGGGCATTCTATCACTGGAAAAGGGAGAGTCCCAGGCTTGGAAAAGGATGCTCAACACTTGCTTCTATGCCCTGAAGCTTCTAAAAGTTAGGCCTTAAAATCCCATCATTATTAATAGGTTGCCAGAATTAGATTTTTATGTTTTATAATTCTGACAATTAAGGATGTTTAATTTTTAAGCCTTTTTAAAATTGTTATTGATTTTAAATTTTCACAATTGCAGGAAATTCAGGGAGGGTTAGAAAATAATTATTTAGTGACAGTAAATGTTGAGATTCAAATAGTTAATTTGCGTTTTAACAATTATAAAGCTTTATCAACATCACATGTCAAAATATACAAAGTAAATATCTGTTAAATCAAACTCTAAGTTCTCAAACAGGATTTTTCTAATTTTGCCTATTGGTAAACTTCAGTAATTATAGATGGAAATACGTTTTCGTTGGGGTGTGTGGGGTAAAATAAACATTTACCAACATTTATCAATAAAAATCAAATCCTTCCAAGCCTAATTATTATGTCTAGGGAAGCTGTTTTACACCACTTTTAGCGGTTTCTAGAATGTATTAATTATGTTTTTCTCTTCCTTTGAGGTCTTCACAGTGGGACTCATGGTGCTAAGGGAACCTGGCCTGTTACAGGTGGAAGGATATAAAAATAGTACCAGGCTTAAAGTTAAGTATGTGAGTAGTCCCCTTAGGACTATTCACATGCTTAAAGTTAATCATATGTAGATATTTGCAGGACTGGGGACATAAGGCTTAAAGTCTCCCAAATGTATCTGCAAAACCTCTTTTTAGTGTGGTACGTAACAATTCCATGGTGCTGTGATAAATTTTGCCTTTTGAAGGGTCTTGTGCTCCTGAGTCACTTATGTGCTTTTGAAATCACCACCTCTGAGTGTGAATCATTTGAGATGACCTGCATGGCTTAGCTGTGGCTTTGCCACTTGTGAGCAGCGTGGCCATCCAGAACTCCTGTTGATTAATAAAATCGTCCTTTTAAGAATAAAAGGCTTCTGTCGCTCATAATTGTGAAGACATTCTCTGCAATGTGAACTAATGCAGTGCTCTTTGCCTGAAGGCTGGTCTGTATGGCCTTTAGTACCACTATAACTATATCCTTTAGCAGATAGATTTGGAAACCAGTAAAGCCCCCTAGTTTGGACACATTTATAGGATGTAAGCTATACCATTACATTATGGAAATAAGCTACATCAATATCAGCACCTTTATACCAGTATAACTGTGTCCACACAAGGGGGCTGTTCCAATTTAACTATTTCGGTAACAAATGAGCAACATCACTGAATCAGTACAAAAACCAGTGTGTAGCTTGGTGTACAAAAGGGCCTGCGTGTTCCCCTTTCTGTTTGTCTTTTACAGTAGCAGTGGTAGATCTTGTCAACGCTGTTTCCCCTGGAACAATCTATGGATCAGTAGACACCTTAATAGATTTCTGACCTCAGACATGAGGAGAAAGCGAAACCTGGTTAATGGAAAAGTGTGTGTCAAACAATCAGTGATGAATTATGCTTAAAAATATCCCACAAATTCTAAACTTTATTTTCCAAAAAATTTTTGATGGAAAATGGTGCAAAATTTGACAGACTTTCCAAAAGTTTTTCTAAACGATTAGCTGATGATGCAAGGAATTATGGACTAGGTTACAGAGTCTGACAGGCACTAATACAGGTACCGCACTCCAGAAGTGGTATGGGGCATGTTTGAGGTAGGGAGAAGCACTAGCTGTTGAATGGTTCAGGGGTAAGTCGTTCATGTTCCTAATATATCAGGTGCACTGAGAGCCTCTGCTCACTGGTACAACAAAACCTGGGTGTTATAAATAAAACTGGTTGGTATTCTTAGTCCCGGGGTAAAGCTGTTGGCCAAGAACAATAGGCATTTCCCAGCTCAGAGGTCACAATGTGTGAGGGGGGCAGGGGGTATAAAAGGTATTCCCATGATGAAATGGCAGGTAGGTGAGGTGCACAGGATAGAAGAAGACAGGGTTTCTTCCTGCAGTCAAACAGAAAAGTTCTCAAATTACCATTTGTCCAGCACATTGTCCCCATTCTCAAAGGTAGCAACCTTTTATTTGTGAGACAACGTGGGCGAGGTAGTGTCTTGAACCAACTTTTGTTGGTGCAAGAGACAAGCTTTCGAGCTTATACAGAGCTCTTGTCTCTTTCACCAACAGAAGTTGGTCCAAGAAAAGATTTTATCTCATCCACTTTGTGTCTCTAATATCCTGGGACCAGTACAGCTACAACAACACTGCAAACAACAACGGAAGAAATCCTTTTATTTGTGATGATCCAACGTCAACTATAATAACATGCTGAACTGCAAATCTTTCTTCTCACTCTGATTTGCGCCTGGATAACCTAGATGTGCAAGTAATTGTGGGCACCTCTTTTCTTAGGATTGCTGAGACCCATGTTCCCAGTCACTTGGAAGTTCTCTGTAAGGTGTTCCTTCTAGCTAGTGTTGAATTTGCAGCTATGAGCTCATATTGGAATGAAGGGTCACATTTTCACCACCACAGATTGAAATTAATTGGATGTAGTGAGCCCTGCTTGAAACCTGAGATGCTGAAAAGTCCTCTTAAATGTCCACTTTAGTTGCCCTATTGCTAATCTTGGAGTTCAGATGTGAAACGGTAGCTCACGCTTGATAATTGAACCCTATGCAAGTAAAGTGGCTGCTGAAATGGCTGATTTTCTGTTTTAAATCCCATGTTTTGGATCTGAGCAGTCAGATGTGCCCTTGGACATCCCTGGGTTCACAGCCTTTTTTCGGTCCATCGTTTGTAATGCCCTTCCCTCCCGATGTAACCTGTTTTGGGACAAACATTGTTTTTCACATCCTTGTTTCTGCTGGTGTAGAATTAAACAGCCCTGCTTAGAGTGAACGTAGGTTATTTCCTCATTTGTACACTAACACCATTAGCCACGTGTTAGTTACGGGCTGCTTGAGAAGCACCGGAAGTGTTCACTGTCACAAGGCTTTTAACAGTCTGGAAGATGTTCTGCCTTGGAGTATCACTTGCTATTAGATTCACTACTTATTACCCATGAATGGTCCCACTGAAATCCATGGGGGTCAAGCCTCGCAGTAACTGTCGGTAGGATCAGTCCCTTTGATTATAACCTCTTCAGGGCAGGAATCTGACTTTTTACATGCTCAGAGCCTACGCCCTCTTGGATGCTATATTAATGATTTTATTCCTATCTATTTAAACATTCGCATTTGGTTCCCATCTCTAAGGCACCTGGCTGTGCTACAGCAATAAATCCATTCTGTATGTAGTCCTTCAATCTCTACAGACCTGAATTTACCTTCTTACTAGGTTACAGGGGCAGTGAGGTTTGTCACCTTGTCCTGACACTTTCAGAATTGTGGTGAACTTGTTTGTAGATAATGTGTTTTCATCTCTCTCTGTCTCTATGGACCTGTCAAAGGGGGATGTTACGGTGTGAGACACAACTCAAACCTCTTGGAGATCCCTGAATGAGAGGCTCTATAGAAGGACCCAGTTCTATGCTGATTAATTCTACTGCCAGCCCAGTGCTGTAGGGCAGTACAGCAAGGAGGATGCTTGGGTTAAAAGCTGTTTCACAAGCCTTTAAAGCCTGTTGCATGGAAATCCCCAGAGGGTAAGAGCACTGAGAGCTGCAATAAATATATTTTTAGTGTCAGGGAAGGGACCTCTCCAGCCGTGGGATAACAGCTGTACAATTTCAAAATTCCTCCTAACAAAGATGCAGCCAATTCTAGGTTGTTGGTTTTTTTTAAAGCTTCACGTGCCATCCTCCAATCTCTTGTTCCCTCTTTGTGATTTTAAATATACATTTTGAAGCACAGGTATAACTCCACTCATGTCGGTTCGATCTGAATTTAAGAGTAACTCCACTTTTCTCCTCCTGGATAGGCAGTATTCTTGACACTTTCTGAGGATTCACACAACTGTCACCAGTTTCTAGAGAAACCTTCTCTATCTTCCAGATCTGGATTGAGTCCTCTCGCCAGCTTGTAGAGAAAAGAGTTGCACCATGCTTCTGTTTTTTCCCCCAGTCTCCCACTTTTTATGCTTTTGAAAGGCGATTAAAGAATGTCTGAATGATCAGCCTGCCCTCCCATCTCATGCCCAGGGGCTAAGAACACATGCCACCGCCCAGTTCTGTTCTCTGGCTGAGACAAGCAGCATCCCTCCTCCCCTTCCCTGCAGGACTTTAGTTCGCTTTAGGAGAGGAGCGTGTGTGGGAAGAACAAACCCATTGAGAAAGAGAGTGAGTTCTGGGTGGGTTTTTTTAAGTTTGTTTGTTAAAAGAATCCGACATGGGGAAAGAAGTAGTGCAACTACTGGAGAACATGGGAGCAGCCCAGAGTCAGATCACGCACGCACAGGGTCAAGTATAGTGTGGGACCCAGCAACGGACAATGTGGGAATCCTGCCATTCCCTTTCTGTGTGAATACTACGCGGGGAAAAGAGATTGTACTCACATGTGACACATTACTACAACTTACATTTTCAAAGCGTACAGCTGGTGCCTTCAGCTGAGGGCTTCCAGCAGCATGCTAGACCCATGGATCAGCTAATATTTGAAACAAACAAAGGCCTTTTGGTGGTGTGTCAGGTTCTTACTGCGCTTCAGTTTTTTCTCTCAAAATAGCTGGGTGGATTTATTGCCGAAAGCACTGGCGTGAGGGGTAGAGTGACATGTTGACCACAGAGTTCTGCCAGACCACAGTACGTCCTGTTATTCAGAGTCCTTGATCTTTCTTCAGCTGAGGCAGCCAGGCATGCTGAATCGGTTATTTTGGGAAAGGCACAACTGTCAGCGTTGCTTAGCTTGGTTATGGATCCCGTCTCCGTTGATCAGCTTTGGGTTGGCAATACTGAATTCCCTGTGACTGCCATCAAAGGCGTGGTGTGCAGCCTGAGCTCTGATACTGAGCTAAGGGTGCCCTTTCTCTGAGACCCTCATCTAAGCTCTATGACATTGGGCGACTAGCACAGTATCCTAGAGCTCTGTGGTACTGGGCAGTTGTACTGTACTTGCACTCAGATAGGGAGCAAGCAACACTACACTACAGGGATGCTCAGTAGCTATTTCTGCCTCTGGCAGTGCATAGAGATAAAGTTAGAGCGGCAGCTCTGGGTGTTTCCGTTCCCTGCGGGCGGAGGGGCAGAGCAGGACGGTTGCTTCCTCTATGCTTTGGCAAGCAGGCTCATAACCATGAGTGAGAATTTGTAAGGCAGAGAAGGGAATTGCTGATCGGCTTTATTTGTTGGGAGCTGACCGGTGCTGCTGGCACCCACCCTTCGCCGCCCAAGAGTGGATAGGATAGTTCAGAAGGGCTCCTTGTCCAGGTCCAACATCACTCTTGCCTTCACTGGGTTGAGGGAAATGGGCTCAGCACTGCAGTTCAGTGATGCTTCTGATAAGCACATTTCAGTGAGCTGGAGTATTCCCTGAAAGGCTTTACCTCCCCCATACCTTCCATGGAGAGGAGCATTGGGAAGTTACGTGGGCATCAGGTGCTTGTACCAGTTACACTGTTGTAATCCTCCTCTCCTCTGCTTTCCAGGTACAATGGTTTGGTGACCAGCTCGCGAGCCAAAGGTATCATTGCCATCTGCTGGGTCTTATCCTTCATCATCGGCCTGACGCCCATGCTGGGCTGGAACAAATGCTCCCAGAGGGAAGCTCAGGACACCAATAACTCCTCGCTCAGCAACTGCAGTAAAAGCATGGTAGCTTGTCTCTTCGAGACAGTGGTCACCATGGAGTACATGGTCTACTACAATTTCTTTGCCTGTGTGTTGGTGCCCCTCCTCCTCATGTTTGGCATCTACTTGAAAATCTTTCTGGCAGCCAGGCGGCAGCTCAAACAGATGGAGAACAAGATGGTACATGGGGAACGCTCACGCTCTACTTTGCAGAAGGAAGTCCATGCGGCCAAGTCTTTGGCCATCATCGTTGGGTTGTTTGCCGTCTGTTGGCTTCCACTCCACATTATAAACTGCTTCACACTCTTTTGCCCGGGTTGTGCCCGTCCTCCCCTCTGGCTGATGTACCTGGCCATTATCCTGTCTCATGCCAACTCCGTAGTGAACCCATTGATTTATGCCTACCGGATCAGGGAATTCCGACTCACCTTCCGTAAAATTCTCCGGCAGCATATTGTAGGCAAGAAGCAGTTCAAGACTGGTACTGCCAGTACTAGGACTTCCACTTATGGTGGGGATGGAGAGAATGCCAGCATTAGGATCAGTGAGTACGCTCTGAACATATACGCCAATGGGGAGCTGGGTGCTATCCACAAAGATACTGACATCCAGGACTTGAGTAAATGCAAGGCAGGTTTGGAATGGCACCACAATGGGAATTCACTAGACATGGAAATAAATGGGCATCTCCCACATTCCTGCAAAAATGGGGACCTTTCAGATGCATGCGGGAACATGGAACTTCTTACTGAAGAGCTAATTGGCATACGTGTCTCTTACTCTGAACTGGAGAATTCAACCTTGGCAGCAGCTGACATTTCCTGATGACTCTCACGTCTTCCCACTGGAATGAAATCTGTTGGGGGTTTTTTTTGTTTGTTTTTTTCTATTGGCTGCCTCTGCTATGGCAGAAAGGGAGGATGAGGGGAAAAGAGGAGTGAGGCCAGGTCACTATCACGTAGGGGGTCCCTACCCAGGACTGATGGGAAGATCCGAAGAACTAGACTGGAGAAAGATTGAGAGGCACCGTTTTGAACAAAGGAAGAGGAGGGACACTATAGCTATCAAAGGCCCAACTCAGAGACACAGAGAGAAGAGAGCAAAGGTCCAATCTGACATCTGAATTTTAACTCTGCTCCAGCAGGGTGTGTTATGACATTATGCTGTACTGTGTATCTGTGGTTGTTCATCAGTTTAGTGTCTTTACCAACAGAAATAAAGGTGTGGCTGAAACATTTACTACTTCATGAGGAGGAAGAGGGGGCAGGGCTTTTAACACTGTGGCCTCTAACAGAGGTAGAGGGTATAGCAGTGCCTACTGGTCAGGAAAGATGCCTATGCTGCCTGGAGAGTGAAGGGATTCACCTGGTGGGAACTTTCAGCATCTTCAACTGTGAGATTCTGTTGTAAAATCAGTTTTTAAAGCTTACTAGTGCAACAGGTTTCCTGATTTTCCACTCACCGCTAGATCAGTTATGAATGATATTACAGTGAGCTGGAATATGGACAGAAGGTTTTACCTCCCCTGTGTTCCATGGAGATGGGCCGCTGGGAAGTTACTTGTGCGTAAGGTGCTATTATGTTGTCAGTTATGAATGTATGCAAGAGAGGGTGGCTCTATCCAAGCCTACAGTGTCCAGCTATGTCCTGGCACGTTGAAGCAAACTGGTAACTATACTTCAGACCCTTCCATTTCACCAAAAGAACAAAGAGTATATATGATGATTTGATAGTTTTATTAGCCAATGGGACAATGGCAGGTGTCTGTGTGCTGTGGGTAACAGCAGGGCAGGGGCAGGTCTGTGTGGGAAGGGCTGATCAGGTAGTGATGGCAGGTTTTGTGAATTGCTGGCAGATGTGTTGGTAGCAGTGAGAGATGACCACAGGCTGGTACTAGGTCCATGTTTGCAATGTCTTTGTGGCTGGTGCTTTCCTCTGTCTATCTTTGTATCTCTGCACCTGTGTACGCAGAATGCCCATTCATTCCACAGCCTTAGTTACGTTTTCTCTAGAATTCCTCTTTTTGGTGAACTTTAATTTCTCATCTTTCCTGAAAGTAAAAATAACTTTTAAAACTGAACTTGGTTTTAAAGTCTGGAATTCATATGAGCCCAAGTTCATGAAAACCTTTTTTTCTATATTGTTTCAAACAACTCCTGGAATCTGGTTAACCGTGAAGCCCTGTGTTTCTGTAGCATGTGGGTGTGCATTACAAATGAGTGCGCATGCATATGTGTGCACCAGTAGAAGTGGGGGCATGTGAGTGCAGTTTGAGAGAGAAAGAAGCTTGTGTTTCGGAGAACTGGAAAACAACCACCAGTGCAGCCCTCCCCGATCTGTGTAGACACAGCATTAGCCTTGCCTCCCTTTCTAATAGACCACGATCTAATCTGTCTCTAATACAGGGTACATGACAGTGTGGTGTGTTACAAAGGGGTTTTACGTGTGTTTGGAATGGCCCCTTACTTGTAACTAGTGAAGCCACTCATCCTAAAGGAGGCCAATAAAATCTTTATCCAAGCCCAATCAGCTTGTATGCTGCATCTGCCATGTATGGTTACATAAAAAAAACCGATTCCAAAGCTCACCTAAAATAGCTATTACTGTAACACTGGTGTGGAAAAAAGTCTAGCACAGGGCCTTCTGGGGCTAGAGGCAGGTGTCGTCTGTCCCATTGGAAAGCTAGGAATCTCCCCTTTCCAGTGATCCATTCTTTGACCCTGAAGCATTTATATATCGCCACTCAATCCTGTCTCTGGTCCAGGTCTGAGCGTTGGCCATCCCAGACCTCAGATCAGGGTAACTTTTTTTGAGGGGAGAGATTCTGAAATTTGGGGGGAAGAGAAGGAAACCCAATGCTTATTCTTATTCATTCCTTATTGACAAGCTATTTAAAGGGAATTTCCTTTCCGTTGTGCTCCCTGGGTGAATGGGGATTGGGGGTTTTATTACTCTTGATCTTCCCTGGTGGAATATATTCCTCTATGCTATGTGGGGGATTGTGCATCTCCAACCTTCTGTAACCTTCCAGCAGTGGAGGAATACATGAAGGGCTTTGATCTTTTCAGAACTCAGTTAGGCGCTGAAATGCTGCTAAGAATAACACAAGATGACATCCTGCCTTCATAGCATAACAATTAGGTCCACACAGAAGCGGAGTAGGGAAGGAAGTGTGGGAAAATATCAGCATTGCTCATGTGCTGGCACACACAAGTGCAGATAGTGTGTGCTGTCACGTTCTGGTGGCTGTCACACAGGGATCTGCCTGATGCTATATTACATCAAACTTTACAAGAACCAACACAGGCTGGCTGCCTTCCACTACTCCCCGAGATTCCTCACACCCAAACGTGCAGTTTGGTTACTACAAGGACAGAGTTGATCTATGTGGGTTTAACAAACTTGGGAGGGTCCCACTGGAAAACTCTCCAGCCTAACTGGGTTGTCATGTAAGCTCACTTGGTCTTCAGCAGTCTCGGAATTGGCTCCAGTATTGCTGTTCAGGGCATTCAACCAGCTGTGTCAAATGCTCTTTCATTGTTAACATCCAGAGCTGAAAGGAAATGGGGTCCCTGTAGCCCCCAAAAGCTGAAGGGAAGCTGAGGCTGGGATTGATTCACGGGTTGTGGGCAGGACTAGGGGAGCTTGCACTAGATCGGCATCCCTTCCCCAGGCAGAGGGCAGCTCAGCCTGTAAGGATTTAGAGATGATGCAAGCTCCTCAGGGCAGGGACCTTCTTTTGTTCCGGGTTCGTACAGCGCCTACCACAATGGGTTCCTGGTCCATGATTGGGGCTTGTAGGTGCTATGATCATCATCATCCAGAAAAGATGACTAGGGGATGACATGGAGCCCATCAGATTACACCTGGCTGTCTTTCGACTGATACGTGTTAGAGAGAGACCTTTGGGATATCTTGCTGGGGAAATGTCAGACAAGCAGATGAGGGTTGCCATGCTCAAGTGTCCCTATGCTTACTGGACAATGTTCAGCGGGCAATCAATAGCTTTAGGAGCCAGCATTGCTAGCACATAGTGACACTGACCGCAAACTCCACAGACACAGTATTGGACTCCCTGTCAAGGTGCTGACAACCCCAAGCGTTGAAAAATCCTCAGTCAGGCCCCCAAATACTACGAGATTTTTAAAACCAGGGCATTTGGGGTTCTGTTTATTTGCCTTCCTCTTTTTGATCCTTTTTAGGGTTCATGTTTTCAGGTTTGTCTCCATATTTGTGAATTGGAAGTACAGATTTAAATGTGAGACTGTGACTCCAGGAGCTGGGGCTGTTGTGAGGCTCTTCATTTGATTGTAATTGGCAACACCGGACATCACCACCATAATCTGACTGTCTGAAAAGAGCCAGAGAAGAGGAGTTCTGTGCAAAGCATATCCTTTTTTCCTGACTCTTCTATCTGTCCTTTTCAACTATCTATCTGTTATGCCACTCTTCTCTCAACTACAAAAATCAGTGGTCAATACAAAGGTCAAAGATGATGTGCTTCTCCCCCTCCCACATCCTCCTCACTTCCTTTGCAGTGGAGAATGTTTAGCTGATGAAACACAGCTGTTCTGAAGAGAAGGGGCCTAGGTGTCCCTCTCCCCACGGAGAGAGCTATCTAGTGTCTGATTCTGTGTGAGGAAGATTCCATGAATTTCATCATTCCCAGGAGACTAGCGAATTCCAGGGTTTATTTGCCTTGCACAGTTTTAGATGAGGTTCTGCCTGGTTGCCAGGATTGACTTTATCAAGAGCCATTCTTTGGGCCTTTTAGTTGATAGTGCGCTGTCTGGTTGTGTGTGCGCAATACGTCACAATTTTATTTGGTATAGCATGGTTCAGACAGCCTGTTTCAAAATCCTTTGCAGGGGTGAATAGTACAGTTGTAGAGTTAAATAGCAGAAAGCTATGTATCGACAAGACCGAGATGTTTGAATGACAGATAATGTTTGAAAACTGGTGGAAAGAAACAGGAAGAGCTATTTCAGACAATGAGTGTTTACCAATGAAATTCTAATTTGTGCTGGTCAGTAAGTGAATGATTGTGTTTAGGGACAGGTTTGGAAAAAATAGGGAGATTTTGGAGGGCTCGGGGTGGGGGGACAGAAGTGTGCTGGAGGATTCTGGGGCAGTCAGGGGGCAGGAACATTCTGGAAGATTTGGGGAGATGCATTGCGGGTTCCGGGGGCACACACAGGTGGCATGGCTATCCTGGTTAACCCATGCGTCCCATATTTATGCTTGATTTCCCCAAGCAGGTGTCGCTGATTGTTCCCATCTGGTCATTATGTGGCAGAATAGATTTTTGGGCGGCTCCCCCCTCACAGATGCTGCTCATCTTCTTAGGATGTCCAGAAGTCGCAAAAGCCTTTCTTCTTGATCTGCATCTGCTGAGCCCTTATTTAAAAATAAATAAATAACCTAACAATATTCTACAGGAATGGCTAACCAAATAGCAGCAATGCTACTGAGCAGAGTGTGGTGTCACAGCTGCAGAATACTCCACTGTTCTTTGATAAGGACGCTGCCTAAAGATCAGTCCTCTCCATGGTTACCATTGGCAGGGGAATCAGCCCTGGCACCTCGCTCCAGTGCTGAGTGGAAGAGGTCAAAGGCCTGATTTTGATCTTCCTTTCACCAGCATGAATCAGGAGTAACTAAAACGAAGTTTCACCAGTGAGAAATTGGTGTGAGAAGCGAATCTGGGCCCCAAATGCTTAGAATGTGAGAATCAGGCCTGGATCTGTTTCTTGTACCTCCCAGCCTTACTTTGGAAGCTAGGTTAGTTCAAGCCACAATGTACCAAAATCAGGACTGGATCCTTTTTATCCCAGAGCAACTGTTGCATTCACTCCTTGCCTCCTTCCCACTCACAGGAGAATTTTTCCTCTTTCCTCTGCTTTTCAGAGCCATCGTCTCCATCTTGTATTACACCTTCCCGCTGCCCCATGGGGCAAGGGGACCCAACACCCCAGTGCATACGTGGTATCTCTTACCCTTTTAATTTAAATGTTTTATAAATGATTTATTGGCTGCTCCCCCTTTCCCTCTATCGAGGTCTATCACTTAGGAGTGGGAGCAGCGTGGCAGAAGAGGGGGTGGATTCTGTGCATGTAATTATATTTTAAGTGCATTGACCAATGGTTTAGAATGTGACGAGTCATCAGACAGCCAGGCACTGAGGAGCCCGCTGCTGGTGATGCTGCTGAGTGTAATGTCTTGGTTACATTTTTTTTAAATGAGCATTAAAATAATAAAATATATTTCTAAAGGAGTGTGAGTGCCTTTGTGTCCTGGGGTTGCAGAAGCTGGCCCGCCCTCTGGTTTTGTTTAACAATTATTGTGAGCTTTTCTGCTGGGCTCATCTTGGAAGAGCGTTTCCTCTGCCCTCTTCCCATTTCCGGCTCCTTCTGTTAGTCTTTCCCTGAAAATATTAACATGCTCCAAGATGACAGACCCAGACAGAGGCCAGAAGCCCTTTGCATCCCTGGTTCACTGGGATCTGTTATCCTGGCACCCGGAGGAATAACGTTAATGTGCTGTGTAATATCTGTACATTGGTCTGCCTGAGCAGCGCACTGTGGTTTGGCCAAGGTACAAGGTCTTGTCATGGCATATGGCAAGTTGTTAAATAGCCAGACACCTGAGTGGGGGAAACACCTGAACCATTATACAACCCTGCTGGCTGTGACTTTAGCATTCACTTCCTGTCTGGCTGGGTGCCCCTACTTTATCAGTGCACCTCATTGCTTTATCAGGTTTCAGAGTAGCAGCCGTGTTAGTCTGTATCCGCAAAAAGAACAAGAGTACTTGTGGCACCTTAGAGACTAACAAATTTATTAGAGCATAAGCTTTCGTGGGCTACAGCCCACTTCTTCGGATTGCTTTATCAGTACACCTTAGACCTCCTGCCTGCAGTGCCCTTGCTATTCCATTGCTGGATCCCCATATGGCTGTGTCAATGCACCTCAATCCTGATCTGCACCATCCTTGCCCTTTGCTAATGCTGGGAATTCTAGGGAGGGAGAGACCCCTGTTCTGCCTCTCAGGCTGGTGTGGGACAGCATTGACAGGCTGCAGAAAGAACTGTGTCCACGTCCCCTCCGCTGGCAGCCAGGAAGGGGGGCTTAGTGAAAGTGAATATGATTCATAACTTCAGGGAGCAGGAGGTGATGAAGTGAGCTGGCGTCCCTGTGGACTCAGGGCGAGCAAGGCCTGACCTGCTCAGTCAAGGGTGAATTGAAAATGTTTTTCATAAACACTGTTTTGTTCTGAAGCATGAAAGAGAGAGAGCTTGGTGGAACAATGGGAGTCTGCCGGAGTACAGCGGGAGTACCTGGAGGAAGAATGGGAGCCTGCCC